TTTTACTCTTACTCCATCTCCTCCACTTCCTGCCTTCCACTTTAAGTTCCAGTAAATCTGAATTAGTTTAAGATTTCCAACCCGTCATGCTGCTTCATGCTTCTGTGCCTCCTTTGTATGTTCTGTTGCTTCTGCTTTTACCTCCTTTGTCTGGCTGGAGAAATACTATCCATCTTCCAAGACCCAACAGAGATGGTTCAATTTCCAAAAAGCTTGAAACTTTCTCAGCTCAAGCCCTTTTCTTATTTGATCCACCACTCCTTCACCAGAGTCACTCCTTAATTTCTGAGTATGTCCTCTATTGCATTTAATACATTTATGTATCTGAATACTTCTAGTTCTTTGCCCAATTCGAGGCTCAGCAAATGTTACTTGAATAAATGAGAGTTAGAGAAATTTAAGAAAATGAATAAAGAAGTTAAGAGAAAGTGATATGAGGTTGAATTCAATTATCTTTAAATGACATATTTATTGAGGTACACAAAGAGAAAAAAATGTCCAAATCTTAAATGTACATTAGTCACTACTCCCATCCAAGGTAATCATTATTCTGACTTCTAACACCAGAGATATATTTGTATAACAACTTCTATGTTATAGGCAAGACTGGATCAAAATGTATTATTTATTATTGCATAAGACTACTACTAATAGGTAAAATCTATGAGCACTTTCTATTTAATAAGCACTGCTCTAATTGCTTTACATATAGTAACTAATTTATTCTCACAGTCACCCTGTGAGATACATTCTATAATTACTCCCAGTGAAGAACCTAGGATACAGAAAAGTTAAGCAATTTGCTTAAGGATATTTTAAGTGGTAGAGCTGGTATTTGAGCCTACATAGTCTCCAGAGTTTGTGTGGTACAAGGTACAAGCATTAAACTATACCTAAGCAAAACATGACATGTCAGTAGTTGAAAACTATCACTGTTCATTGCTTGCTGTTGGAAAATGTAAATATCAGAACAAGACATAGGTGGATATACAATCTTCCTGACACTATAGGTCAGATGCCCTTTATATGTCAATGCTGCAAAGTCATTGAAAGACTCCAGAGTCAAATCTCCCTGAGTTCAAACCTCAGCTCCACCACTTATTTTTTATTTTTTGAGTTGGAGTCTCACTCTGTTGCCCAGACTGGAGTGCAGTGGCCGCTCCCGGCCACCACAGCCTCGACCTGCTGGGCTCCGGCGATCCTTCCGCCTCAGCCTTCCAAGCAGCCGGAATTACAGGCGCACGCTACCACGCCCGGCTGATTTTTGATTTATTGTAGAGATGAGGTCTCGCTGCCCAGGCGGGTCTCGAACCCGCGGGCTCAGGCAATCCACTCACCTCAGCCTCCCAAAGGCGCGGGACTACAGGCTGAGCCACCGAGCCCGGCTTCCACCACTTATTAATCGTGTGACTTCAAGCAGATTACTTAACCTCTGTGTGCCTTGGTTTTCTCATCTGTAAAACATAGGTAATAATAGTGCTTGCATCATAAGATTGTTGAGAAGGCTAAAGAAAACAGTCCTGGAATATGGTATGAGCTCAAATCATTCGTCCATCTACTCATTCATCCATTTAACAAATTCCTGTTTGGTGCCTACCATGTGCCAAACACTTAGGACATATCAGTGAAAAAATCAAAGATCCCTGCCCTCTTAGAGCATATGAGGTAGGGCAGCCTGAGGACAAAGAGTGAAGGGAGAACAGAAGATAACATAATAGAGAATGTTAGAAAATAACTGCTATAATTAAAAAAATTAGAGCAGGATAAGTGTAGTGTAGTGGGAGTGCTGGAGAGGTTGAGAGTTGGCAGTATTAAACAAAAGAGTCTGGGTAGGCCTCACCAAAAAACTAAGATTTGAACAAAAACTCGAGGGAGATAAGTAAGACATGTGGATATCTTGAGGACGAGCATTCAAGGAAAAGGGAACAGGTTGTCCTCAGAACAACAAAGCAGCCAGTGCTATTGGAGTGAAACCAGCAAGGGCGAAAGGGGTAGGAGAGGAAGTCAGAGAGGTACTGTGGGTGGGGTTAGGGAGTTCTTGATGAAAATCCTGTAGGGCCTTGTAGCCTATTATAAGGACTTTGGGTTTTACTAAGTCAAACTGAGAACTTACTTCTATAGGCTTTTGAGCAGAGTGGTAATATGATTTGATTTAATATTTTATAATGGTTTTTCTGGATACTATGCTGAGAATAGATGGTGAGTAGGTATTGTGGGTTAAATTGTGTCTCCACAAAAGGTATGTTGAAGTCCTAACCACATGTATCTATGAATATGATTTTATTTAAAAATAGGGTCTTTACAGGTGCAATAAAATTCAGATGAAATCATACTGGATTAGGGTGGGTCCTAATCCAACAACTGGCGTCCTTATAAGAGGAAGGGAAGTTGGGCACACAGACATACACTGAAGGAAGGGGGCCATGTCTTCACACAGACACATAGGGAGAACACCACGTGAGGATGGAGGTAGAGATTGGAGTGATACACATACAAGCTGTGGAAGGCCAAAAATTGCTGACAATCACCAGAAGCTACAAGAGACAGATTCTTTTTCAGAGCCTCTACAAGGAACCAACCCCAAACAACCTGGTTTGGGGCTTCTAAGCCTCCAGAACTGTGAAAGAATATGTGTCTGTTACTTCAAGTCACCGGGTTTGTGATACTTTGCTATGGCAGCCCTAGGAAACTAATACAATGGGCAAGGGTAGAAACAGGAGGCTATTGTAATAGCCCTGTCAAGAGATGATGAAGGTAAGGGTTGGGATGGTAGTGGTGGAAATGGTGAGAAGCTGTCAGATTCAGTATAGATTATAAAAGTACAGCTGACAGAATTTGCTGATATACAGGATATTGAGTGTGATAAATGTTAGCTTTATTATTCCTTGCATGAATGGTTTCAATATTTATCCACATGCAATATATACTTATAAATGTCTAATTTCATTGCCCCAGATATCCCAGATTTGAGGCTTTTCAAACTAGGATCATTTGCCCGGGCAATCAAAAGACGTTTATTTTGCTGTGTGACCAAAGAGTAAATCACATTACTTCTCTGGGTCTCAATCTCCACATGGCAAAACAAGAAAACTGGGCTTCATTGCATGGTTTTATGGTTCTATTATTATCAAGGATTTGGCTGCCTTAGTATTGATAAATTTTCCAGAGGATAATAAACTGTTTTCTGATTTACACATTTGAAAACCTATGTCCAAGTTTGCAGTAACTTTTAACAACAAAACTCTCCTCATTATGGTTGATTCTCTGCCATTTAATATCTCTAGTACAAGGAATGACCCACCATATTTTAAAAAAGAATTACAGCGAAACCAAAGTAATCTTTGCGTGCCTTTTTAAAGAAATATGGAAGTTGAGTGGGTTGCTTAGTGGGATACTGAAACTCTACCTGAAAAAAAGCTTTGGAATTCTGGGCCTCAAGATTTCTGACTCCATTTTTTAGAGCATGCTCTAAATTATCTACCATCAGTGTATATATGTTTGAATTTTAGGTGAATAATGAGTTTATAAGGCAAGATAATTAGAATAGTAAGTATTTAGGATTTACTCTGTATCAGGTACTGTTCTAAGGGTTTTTAATTTTTTAACTCAATCCTCACAACACTCTTATGAGTTAGGTACAATTAGTATTCCCATTGCACAAATGAGTAAGTTGAGGCACAGAGCAACAAGGAAGATTTCTTTATTGCATTAACAAAGGATCTTACATCAAGGGCAAATAGATTGGATACTTTAAAAATAATTAAAATAAATGATAAATGCAAGGCAATTTGGAGACTCAGTAGCAAAGAAAAAAGTTTTGTCAGAATCCCGCAAACTAATTCTGACAGAGTCTATAATAAAACACACATCTCCATGAGTCCTCCTCCTGCCTCCAACCCTTGTTGACTTTAGTTTTCTAAGGAGGAAAAAGAGGACTGAGAACCAGGCCTCGGGGCACCTGAATGAAATCTTGCCAGTTCTCAAACACCTGTTAGATCTGGTTCCCAAGAAGTTTTGAAGCTCTTAAATGTATCCTGGTATTGTTCCTAAGTCACTCCCTTGCTAGATCCTTGATAAATTAGACTGCTACTTTAAAAATGTGCTTAAATCTCTTTTCACTTGAAATTCAGAGCATATATTTCCTTTCACACTCTTGCTTTCTAGAAAATCCTAGCTTTCCTAAGAATTACTCATTACTATTTCACACACCCCAGGCCCACTGTTTGAGGTCCTACAGCCTTGGCCAGGTCCACTGCAGTGATGGAACAATCAGTATTGGGCAACCAGACTAATCAAAGTCTGCGAAGATCATTTATTGATTCAACAAAACACTGTAACTCAAATCTGTAACAATGAAAAACGTGGCCTTGTCACTCAACCAAATCCTGGAAGTTGTGAGCAACCTTTGAAGCAACCTTTATAGCAGTATAAATATACTTTGGGAACTGATAAAAGGACACGATTTTACAGTGCCAGTAGTGTAACTAGTTGCCCCCGGTAGGTTTTAACTTCAAATAGGTGCAAGAGTGGTTTTGAGAAATTCCTGAGTGGCAAATGAGGAAACCTTGGGCTGAGACACAAGCCCAGCCCCCCATCGGGGCACATCCAGGGCACAGTGCTCCTGACCTAAGGTTCTTAGAACCTTGGTTAGAGGCAGAGGTTCTCTTGGTTAGGGGTCAGACTACTGTGTTGACCAGCAGGGGTGTGCGTGGAGATGGGGGATGGGGTGCAAATCCCACACTGTTAGCAACCCCGAACCAAATTCAGGAGATCTTCCAGAGCAAACCCTTCACCATGTCAAGCTACTAACAGCAGGCCTAGGGATTAGCCCTATGCCACTCCCTCTCTGTCCCCCTACATTCACAGTGTCGGGGGTTTTGTGACTCACCCAACCCTTCCGTAATAATCCCACTGTGGGCGGGGCTGTGAGTTTCTCGTCCCTTCCTACCCTGACCCAGCTCTCTTCCCATGGGCTCCAGTGCAGGGCCGGGCACAAGCCACCGCGGTCCCCGCCCTGCCGGGCATGCTCAGTCCGCGGGCCATGCTTTGACTGCGGGACCGGCAGCACCCGGCCGGTGCGCGCGTTCCCAGTGCCCGGTCCCTTTAAATCGGGCTGGCCCGTTGCTAGGCAACCGCGCGGCCGGCGCTGGCGCTGCACTGCGGAGGCTCAGCCTCGGCCGGCCCGGCCGGGTCGTGGTGGCCAGTGCCGAACCAGGGGCTGCCGCCCGCCAGTGGTGGCCGGCTTCGCGGAAGAGGGGACCCGGCTGTCCAGACCGCACCCACGCTGCCAGGTATGTCTGCGGAAGGGGGAGCCCGGGGTGCCCCGGGTTCGCCCCTCTTCTTCCCGGCGCGGGGATAGGGGGTGCGAAGGGACAGAGAGCCGGGATGAAGGCGCGCTCGTCCCCACCTCGACCCCCACTGCGGGTGTTTCCTCCCCTAAGAGCCCCAGGTTGGAGCTGGCGAGCGTGTGAGAGGAAAAGGAACGGGCATGGGAGTGGGGGTGTGGAAGCCGAGGAGTGGGGTCAGGCCTCCCCTGCCGCCCGTCAGCGATAGAGTCAGGACTGGGGAGGTGGAAAGTGTCACCTGCAGTGGGGGCTGGAGCAGCGACCCGAGCCACCTTTCTCTCCGCTGAGCGATGGCAGGAGTTTTAGTTAACCATTGACAGAGAAAACCCAAACTATGCATACAAAGATACAGCTTTACAGCAAGAATGTGACTCCCATGCTAATAAAGTCTCAGCCTTTGGAATTAAGGTGACTCCCCGTATCTTTTCCTTTTGGAAGGAATGATTTCACACTCATAACAAAGAATTGGGGTAATAACTACTCACAGGGCCCAGTTTTCGACGGTACTTAGCTTCCCCCTCAGTAGCTTCCAAACAATAGAGAAGACAATTTGTCCCGTGAAGTGGACACTTGTGCCATGTTTGGACCCTGAAAGATTAAGGCAAAAGTCAGGATGATTTTCTCTTTTTAATTGTTAAAAATTAACTGCCCTCTGAGGGTGGGAGGCAAGACCTAAGCTCCAGCCCTTTGATAATGTGGTTCTTGGCATGCTCTTTTATAACAAGTATACTGCTGTTGCCTCCACCAGGGTGGCTCATTTGTACAATACGTGCTAAAGGTGAAGAACTATTGTGTTGACTAAATGTTACCATGATTCTTGTCCCATCTGATATATGTGCTGCTTGAGGAAGGAAGACTAGTGGTATAAAAGTTGGGGAAAATGGGTTGACAACTTAAAATGAGAAATTACCTCTTAGTGTCTGACACCACATTTCAGATAGGCCAAGTGACATTCTAAGTATATCACTTGTAATTGTAATCTACATCTCAGCTATAAATATGGATTTGTGCATTCTGCTTAACTATATTTCCCGGTTATGCTGAGGGGGCAGATTTTTTTTCCAGTTCAAACTAGAGAAAGCAACATCCAGTAGAAGACCTTGGGCCTCAGGAAGTGTAAGTACAGTTGTGCTGGCTGATATCTTGTTAGAGGTGTTTAGAAGCACAGAGCCTTACTCAACATAAATTTCAACCTTGCATCATTCTGCATTGTCAGTTTACTTTCAAGAAGGCTTCATAAAAGACAAAAGAAAAGTGTCCTGAAGACTTTAGCTAAGCAAATAAACTTCAAGGGAAAAATAAAAGTCTTTCCCCTAAAATGTCACCCAAAAAACTTTATAAGCCAAAGGAGGAAAAAAATCCCTCAGTTAGAATCACAGCATTATAGTATTTTCAGAAAGAATATTAAGAGTCATCTATTCAACAAATATTTATTGAGGGGTGCAATGTGTCAGGTAACAGGGATACAAAGATGAGTAAGATGCCAGGTGATAATAGCATATTGGTGTAATAAAGGTCTGTATGAATGCCAGAAAAACTCAGAGTGCAAAGTCATCCTTGCTGATTTTCAAACTAATACTGTATATGAACTTATTTGAAAGTTATTGGTGGTTCTGAAAAACAGTGAGACTTTTGGAAAATTTTTGCTAAAGAAATTTATGATTAAAAATAAAAATATATTAGGTTGTAGAAAATACCACTTTTCTGCTCAGGTAGAATCAATTTTGTTTCATAAATTTGGGAACATCAACAACTAACTTGCAGGAGTTAAGGCTAATTCTTCTCTGCGGATACAGATTAAATTAATCCAAGACTGAAGTTTAGGTTTCCCTCTACTTTAATAGTCCTACATTTTTTTCAAACTAACTTGTAAGGTCTAAGGATTTCAGACTGGACATTTTGGAGCACATATCTTGGAGAAGGGTTAGGTTGCTTAACTTTCTGGTTTATGTTCAAAAGAAGGGTAAGGAAAACCTGAAAATTAGCAAAACCTGTTGTTTACCGTACACTTTAAAAAATGCTCCCATTTCCATTTCATTCATTTCTCTTTTTTCCATTTTCACTCATTTTTCTTAAGCACTTGTGAAATAGGTATATTGTTCCTACTTTACACCTGAAGAATCCGAGGCTCCCAGAAGGCAAGCCTTCATGCAGGTGTACAGTGTGGGAGCCAAGATATCTCACCCCTTCAGTCTTTTTTCCACTATAGTCCACATTCAGTTTCTTTCTCAGAAGCTCCCTTTTCCTTCTTCTCCACAATTTTACATGGTTTGATCAGCCTTGACTTGAGATAGTTCATTTGGGTCCTCATTTTGGTATTCAATGTTTTTCTGCAAGTCAGTAAGAGAGGGAAGAGAATGGGGAAGCTCCCCTAGAGGGGGCAGGTCAGGATTTTTTCCTAAGAAAAAAGGGTAATGATGGCAGAGTTTTGTGCCTGGAAGCAGTGGAAGTAGGAAAAAAAGGTTGAGAACCACTAATTTGAACCAAGAACAAATTGGACAACTGAGCAAAGAAGCAAAGCTAGTGACTTCCTTTGTAACAGACTTTTTTCCTGTTTTGGCAGAAGAGTTTTGCTGAGAGTCCAGAGAACTGAAACCGTCCAAGTATAAATGAAGAAAGTTCCTTGTGCTAAGAGGGGCCCTTTGTCTTCACCTTACTGCCCCTGGGCAGTGACTAAAAGCCATGCCCCTAACCGAGAGTTGCTGAAGGGCTGGGGATAGTGACAGAAGTTTGCTGAACACGGGTTGGAGATGACCTTTTCCAGTCATCATTCCTAGTTTACAAAGTTTGTGAGGAAGGGCTCTTGTGAGATGTGAAAAGACCTTTGGCATTCTTCCAGAACTGTTTTCCAGTCCCTGCCTACCCCTGCCTGAAAGAATAATTGCATTTTGCAGGCTGATCTAGATTTATGCAAAGAGATGATCCTGAAAATTTGAAAACAAATTCTAACTAAATGGGATAAGGTAATAGAAAAAACATATTTGATTTATGTCATCAAATTTCCCTAAAGCATGTGATTCAAAATATGAATATTTTAGAAAACAATTACATTTCATATCTATCTTAATGTGAGTATACTCCCCAAGACCCCACCTTAAATATGAAACTGAAATGGTTTGTGAATTTCTTTCACAACAGAGAAGAGTGTATTATTTTCTGGAGCTATTTGAGGATAGATAAGCATTCACCTAAGATTTTTATGGAACAGTGTACCTAAGAGTCCATAATAAATGATCACTCTTTGCTCAGCTCTCGACATTTATATTATATCACATTACATTATAAATTCATTTTCAATTTATTTTATTAGCAGTTCCCAAATTGTTTAGGTAAATATAAACCACTTCCATGATCCCTTATCCCTTAAAATAAAAATATTTTACTACTTTGCTACTGCAAAAATAAGTCATCAGAGGATGACTGGTGATGTTTCCAGTGAGACACTAACTAGAACCATCAAGAGTCCATTATTAATTCATGTCAGACACAAATGAATAGATACAGTCATAGACACCCATACCTTAACAATGCATGGGGGGGGGGATTGCTTAGAGGACCACTGATGTTATTTTTGTCATATGACTTCGTATTGTTTTTCTGTCTGTGTTCTGGCTTATTTCTTTCTAAAGAAACACGTTTTTCATTTCTCTTGGGCCTCCTTCCCCTACCCTTCAGGACTTCTGTATTTAATGTAGTGTTTGGTAGGCACTTATAGTAATAAATGTTTACAACTGACCCACTAAAAGGCATGCTTACACTCTCAATAATGGCTTCTGGTTTGGTTTGCCTTTTGCTGCAACAAATTACCTAGTCAAATTTATTGAGAACATTATGACTGCCAGGCCAGGGTAGAGGAGTGTCATTGCTTCAGAGCATATTCCTTGTTCTTGCCAGAAAATACTAATGCCATACTTGTTCTGCATAAAAAACAAACAGTGCAATTTGCAAAGAGAAAATGAGGTTGGCAGCTTTACCCCCACTCTGGGCTTTGCCATGTTCTACGACTAGATTTTGGAACAAGCCCTTAAAGGATATCTTGCCAGTGAAAGAGAGAAGGGAAAAAAAGAAGCAGCTTAGAGACCCCTTGACCCTGCTCTGTGTAAGCCATGAGAGGGAAATTCCAAAAGGCTTTTCAAACCTTTCTCTTTCTGTTCTTTGATACGTGGCATGCAATTCTCCTTACCCTCCCCCCTCACTTTTCCTCTTTCCTTTTGTGACTCTTTAAAAGATACCTAAGCTCTGAAAATAGCAGGGTGTTTTCTTTCAATTTGTGGAACGAAAACCTAGCAGATGAATAAAGAGGGATTTTAGAACAAGCACTGACCTGGGAGACAAGGTCCTCAATTTTACTACTACAGGCTGTATGACCTTGGTCAAGTCATTTAATTTCTCTGAGTCTCAGTTATGAAATAAGTGGACTCTTCCCAGTTCTGTGAAAAGCATTGGCTGTACAGAGTTTATTAAAAGGTATTTTGTTTCAGACACCCAGGAAATTATGCAGAGACTCAGGAATGATAGTAAAAATTTAAAATTGTGTGTGTGTGTGTGTGTGTGTGTGTGTGTGTGTGTTGTCAAAGATTTATGAGTTGGACATAAAAGTCACTTTTTCAAGAACAAAATTATCAGTGAAAAGAGTTTTTTATTTTAGTCTTTATCTATACCTAGACGTCTATCTCAGATGTGTCATTATTGCTGTCACCAGGCATAGAGTGTCCTCACTTGCCCCTGTGTACACCTCCTTCCTGATCAATCCCAGTGTCCTTTATCAAGAATTAAGTAGGAGGAATAGTAATCTATCTGTCATTGCTAACTGATTAGAAGCATTTTTATCTTTTATTGAATTGTCTGGTAAAGATCTGACTGCTAAAAAATGTGACTGGCTATTACCATCACCCTCTTTTCTTCTGTCTCTATTCCTTTCCTTTATGATTGCTGTACTAATTCCTACTGATTTGCATTAATATTTCTAGAGAGGAGAGAAATTAGGATAATTATAATTTTCCCCTTTAAGAATAGATAGCTCATAGATGCTTCTTGATGGTGACCATTGAATAATAAAAGTCAGTAAAGACTGTTTCACGCGAAAGGAGGTGGTCCCCCAATGGCAAATACATACCATGACTTTCAAGTCTGAGTTTATCACTGTGGTCTGATTGAGTAAACTTCAGTAAACCTTGGTTTATGGCTTTTGAAACAGTCGTTTTAATACTTTCATTGAACACTTATCTTTAAAGCATACATTTAAAGAATATTTGTACCTTCCCCTATCCTGAAAGCTAAATAATTGCCAGTAGGGATGTACCCTTGGGGATAGTGAGTCCCTTACATCTTTTTTTGGGGGAGAGGGATTGGCATGTTCAGTATCTGTAAGTATCAAGTTTATTCCTTCATGGTCTGTCGCAAAGAAAACCTATGTTATTTAAAATAAACTATTGTTGCAAGGAAAAAAACTGGAGTGATAATACACCAAAATAGTCATCTCAGGGCCATGAGATTATGACAGAGATGTCTTATGGTTTTTGTGCTTTTCTGTATTCTCCAACGTTGCTACAACTATTCAAAGAAAATATTAAGAAATAAACACACCATTTCTCTTTACCAGGAGAAAATTACATGTACGTGCATAGGTAAAATAGACAGGCATACTTTGATTTTTCTCAGTGGTGATGCTACAAATATATTACATTAAATTTATGTATGAAATGAGTAAAGTGACCCTCTCCTTCTGTTCACCCTTTAGGGAGTGACTTCAGCTGCCCATTTGGTGGTTTCAAATGCCAATGGCCCTCAACATGTTGCTCGGGTTCTTTTTTCTCCCTTCTCTCAGAAGTAGTCACTGATCAAATATTTCAGTGCTTTGGGAAAGCTGTATGCTAAGGACTTGATTTCAGTAGAGAAGACTCTTTGAAACAAAATGATCGTCCTCTAATTTTTATAAATTTGGAAAGTTGGTTGTGACTTATTATACTAACTTTTCATTTAAAAACTACACTCGGAGTCAGTATCTTGAGAAAAACACATTTGGTGGCATTAATATTTTCGGTTGTTGACATTAGGTTCTCATCGTGAAATTGCTGTCAAAATGGATAGAATTCAGTACACTTGGCAGTCTTACCTAAAAGCAAAGCCCAAGACTGGAATAGCAGGAATTTATAGGTCAAAACAGAAGGGCATTTGGCAGAGGTAGTCATAAGGAAGTCTGCATGGTATACTTTACCAAAAGCAGCTCACATTTCATTAAGCCCTAATGTTTTAGTCACTTTAGAGAATGAATAAACAGCAGTCCAATCCAAAAGGACTAGAAAAAATCAGACACATTGAAAGCACAGGTATTACCAATATTAACCTATTAATTTCAAATCGCTTTTGTTATTTTAAAACAGTCTGTTTTTATGTATACAGTTGTTTTCTCATAGAATTACTTTATAATATACAGGTAAATGTGTCAATTTGTTGGTTATATTTCATAGGAACAAAGAATTTTAGAGCTGGAAGCATCCATAGAACTTAACTGGTTCAGCCCTTTCAATTTATAAGGGAGGAAACTGAGGCCCAAGTCACTCCAAGTAAATTGGAGAGCCAGCCCTCAGTTGTTTAGATTCTGTCATCCATAAGCCAACATTCTTATTTCTTTCTACAATACTAGCTGCCAGTGTAAATAATATGTCTTTGTTTTAAATTTTGTTTTTCAGGTATTGGAAGAGGTACCTGAAGAAATGGATGCTAGAAGGAAACACTGGAAGGAGAATATGTTTACTCCTTTTTTTAGTGCACAGGATATTCTAGAACAGTCTTCTCAGACTGAATCTTCTTCTGAACAAACGACTGTAGATAAAACCAAGAGAATGGAAGGAATTTATAATTTGTCCAGTAGAAAGCTTCAAGAAGAAAATAGATTTAAGAAGAAAGAATATATTTCCCAACTAAATGAAAAAGAGCAAGAACCAAATTTAAGAGAGAGAAAGAGAAACATTTCAAAGAATGAAGCAGATACAAATTCAGCCTCCTTTGAATCATCTAATGTGGATATTACAACAGAAGAAGGCTTTAACAGAACAGAAGATCATTGTACCTGGAGTACAAAGAAATCACCAACTCTACCACGGCAAGACACGAGGAAGAAATTTACTGAAGGCATGTCTCCCAAAGTTCGCCTGAATATTTTGAATGAAGAACTGGAAGAACTTAACATGAAGTGCAGAAGAATAGAAGAGGAATTTGAAAATGCTGAAAAAGAACTTTTGAACTCCAAAAAAGAAGTACCCACAAAACCCTTAAATTTTCAAGAAACAGGGACAGGTACTTCAAAGAATTACTGGGAACTTCAAGCTTTAAGAAATGACCTATCTGAAAGAACAACAAATGTAAAAAACTTAACTGAAGAGCTCCAGCAAGCCAAAGAAGTCATCCATAAGTTGAACCTAGAAAACAGAGATTTAAAAGAAGCTATTAGGAGATTAAAGCGTCAAACTGAGATTGGAAATACGCTTATAAAAGAAGACACGAAATTGTATTATGAATTAGAAATGGAAAAGATTCGTGGAGAGCTTGATGCCATCAAGCAGGAACTGAGAGCTGAGAAGACCCTGCAAGCAAGAAATAACAGAGCCCTGGAGTCACTTAGAAAACACTTTTCTCTGGTAGTAACATCATCAAGAACCTTTGACCGCTTTACTGGAGATTTTTTTTAAACTTTAAAAAAAAGCCTTTCATTAGGCAAGCCATTGAGCCAAATCAGTGTTTATTGTGCTTTCTTTGTGTATTACTTAAAATGTGTATAATATAATGTGATTTTCATTTTTGGTGAATCAGAATATCTGTAAAACTTATAGATGTTAGCTTCAAAGCTTCTGCTTTCTCTTTCTAATGGCATTATCATAAGAGTCCAAATGAAAATGAAGCTTTGAAAATCTCTTTTTTATATATTTATATTTATATATACATATATATTTCACTCAAAAACACATAGGAATTCACCGAATCACTTACGAATACTAATCAACAGCCATTTTGTGATCTGATGAGCAATATGTCCTTGGCACATGAATATTCTTCCATCTGTGTTCATTGATGTGAATAATAAAAATCTTGTTTATGTGTTTAACATATGCCTGTGGTCTTGTGGCTGCCTGTTCTAACTCAATGGGATACCAAAAATGTATCTGCTTTCTTTGGGGTCTAGCTTTAATTAGGCACATATAAACATCTCAGAAAAAATGCAGTTTTTTCTTCCCCCTGCTGTTTTCCCCATGCTTTCTCTTTTGACCTGGCCACGGTTCCCATAGACTAGAAGACGACTTAGAGACATTGCTGTGACCTTTGCTAGAGCCATTCTCTTGTCAGCAGTGGTTTTTGCGTTTTCTTATGTTGACCAGCAAGGGGCGTTGTTTACACAGTTCTTCCAAAATTCGACCAGAGGAAAATTTCTAAGCTTTTTGCCCAGCTCACATCACAAGCTGGTGGGGTCGGTGGTGAAAAGTGTTGGATGTCATCTGGATAAGCTTTTAGTGAGCTGGCTTGATTTATACAGTAATCCAGCCCTGTAAGGGGCCCAGGCAATGACAATTTGTTTTATACTTACAAAGAGTAAAAATGTACTGTCTCAGTCTTTCGATGGAAGTGATGGGCCAGTTGATTTTTTGCAATTGTTTATATCAATTATCAACATTTCCTATAATTGGAACTCTATTTACATGGTATTTTTAAGCCCAATGTAGCAAATGTAGTTTCAGGCTATGAGGGTGGGATACAATCGTAAGGGTTTAGATATTTTCCCTGATGGGAAAATCCCCAGACTGGGATTCAGTACACTTGGGTTCTAGTAACTGCTCTGCCATTAACTAGTTAGTCAACCTTCTAGGCCCAAAGCTCTCACCTTGTTATAACAAGGCAGCAGATCTATCATCATGATTCTGTCCAGTTCTAAAGTCCTGTGAGTTCACCTAATGATTTTATTTGCAAGTGTAACTATACCTGTGAGGAAGTAAAACTCTATCGCATCGGATGCATTCAGTTCTAATACTTTGGGGTGGCCTATTTTGCAGACCCCTTTTTCAAAGGAAATATGAGGGGGACCCAAAACTGGAATTATCTTTTGGAGGGTGGGCCTTTTGTAGTACAGTCTTCCCCTGCTAGGTGAGTGTTCTAGAAACCACTGGTATCAGTGTACCAGCCAGCATTGTAAGAGGCTGTGTTCAACTTCAGTTAATTTTTTGTAACAAGCAGGTGATTGGTTCTTCCACCATAACAATACACCTGTCCACACTGTGCTGAGTGTTTAGCAATTTTTGACCAAAAATGGAGTGACCCTTGTGCTCCACCCTCCCTATTCACCTGATCTCACCCTGAGCATTTTTGTTTGTTTGTTTCCCCAGATGAAAAAAGTTCTCAAAGGGAAAAGTTTCACTGATGTGGAAGAGGTAGCACGTTGGTAGAAGCACTAAGAGGCACCAAAATTGATGAGTTCAAAAGTTGCTTTGAGCATCGGAAAAAGTGTCTCGATAGGTGTATTTTCTTAAACAAAGAGTACTTTGAAGGTGACTGAAGTTTAAACATGTGAGAATAAATACACAATTTTTAATAAATAAATTCTGGGTTTTGGGGGTCCCTCCCCATTGTATTTCTAGGAAGGAACTGGAATACAGGTTTCTGGTGAGACAAGAATCTATGTAAAGGCCCTATAAAAAGCCTAGGTCCAGACACTAGCCAGGGAGACAATATGCAATCCCTAACTTCAGAGGGCCCAGGAGAAAGGGGAGCCAAGGTTACAGAGCCAATAGTTTGGAGCTGGGAATGGATCACATTTAAAAAAAAAAAAAAAGCAGGGCTGGGCTACATTGGGGGAAAGCTGAGCAGTTACTATTCCTCTTCGTGGGCAGATGGGAGTAGCAGTAGGTTGAACTAGTTGAAAGAACCAGAATCAAGGCAGGCACAATTATTCTGTCCCGTTCCCTCTGTTTTCACTTTGTTGCATTAGGTACACCCCATTTTGATCAGACTATGTTGTCACTGTGCTTTCTAGTATATTGAATGGGAAATATGGAGGTTGGTTTGTTTGTTTAAACAGGGATGGTGCATCAGGCATTCATTCCTTCAACTCATCTGTTGGGTAAAATATTTAAAATCAGCAATGCAACCACACACCATTCACTATCAACTTCCAATTCTTTGCTCATTAGGAAGCATGGAGTGTCACAGTGCTCTAGAAATATCTGCTCCACCTTGGTTCATCACCCAGTTCTATAAACATTTGCTGAGAGCACTTATTACCATTCTAAAACACATTTACATAAATATTTTGACATTCCTGAATTTAGGACACATCTTCAAACTGATGGCAGGTCATAGTATAATTGTCAAATTTTTTCTTGGTAATTCATGAAGTAATGGTATGTCTTATAATCAATGGAGCTTTAGATTCGATGAAATATGGTATGTGCTAGGCTGAGGACATAAGGATAAAAGAATTTTTGAATAAGACAGGCCTCTGACCCCGAGGACCTTACATGTACAACTAACTAAAACAATGTGGTAAGAACTATACTAGCAATGCTAATATAAAGTGCTATGGGAGCATAAAGGAGGATCAATTAATTCTGCCTTTGGGGCTGGGAACAACTTCATAAAGGAAGTGACATTTGAGCTGGGCCTTGAAGGATAAGAAGCATTTTTTTTCTGGGAAAGCATGGGGGTTAGGGAGGGGACATTTCTAGAATGTGAATGTGGAAGATCTATTTGACTTTAAAGAGGACTCTTAACAACAGTGATTAAAGTACTGGGATGTTAGGTGTTATTGATTTTTATATTTTTCACATTTGGGAGTATATGTTTTAATAAGCAATAATTTTTTTCTTTTTTCCTGTCTATTGTATTTTAAAGTTGTGGGGTTCAACTCAGGATTAGGTACATAAGTGGTCTATGTACAGGTGAAGTCTAAACCTCCCACTGGTCCTCACTTTCTCGGGTTTAGGATCAGGTACACTTAGTGATATTATGTCTCATTTGAGTTTCTATTCTAAAAGCTACTGTGAATTCTAACTTTTTTGCTCATTTGCATATAGTCTGGAGAATGACATTCTCATGCATGGCATAAAAGATCAGGTTCCAGATAACAAACCGCAGAAAACAATTTTGCTGGTACTACTGTATTTTTGATGCCATCATTTTTGTTTTGAAAACAAAAGACCTAAAAGAGTTCAGTCATAAAAACTCAGCCAAGTCCTCTGTAAGTGGTCTGGTTTCAAAGAGATGTATGATAGAGGAAATACCACAGTCACTCTTCTCTTCAAAGTAGCTGATAGCATAGAGATTAAGTGCACAAACTTTGGTTATCCATTTACTAGCTGTGTGACCCCGGGAAAGTTGTGTTATTTTCTGTAGCTCAGTTTCCTCATCTTGTAAGGTGGGATTAATACATAGTGTTGCTGAGAGGATAAGATGAGATCACATATAGTCAACAGATGTCACCTTTGTCGTTATCATTATTGTTATTACCTGACAAGGAGAAATGACCAAGTCTACCTGTCTCCTTTCAGCTATTACTCTTACCAAGTTCTTTATACTTACCGTATTCTCTGGTGAGAATATGATGAACTCTTTCATAAGTGTATCAATGATGGGTGTACATGTTTGGGAAGGTAGAACAAGTTGCAGGGAGGACATTTTGATTTAATCAGTATATGAATCCTCAAGCCAAAGTAATGAATTGGTCGTGATGGCTTTTTTGGCCTCAGGAAGGATCCTGTAAAGGGAATTTCTTGGGTCGGAGCCTACCAGCCTCCTCCAATCAGGTCTGTGTAAAGTTGGCCCCTGGCCCTGGCAGGCAGAGAACCAGAATGGGGGAGAAAGCCCAGCTCTAGTGCTCCAGTGGGGAAAAAAAAACACATCTAGGAGAACAGAATGGAGACAAGAGAGGCTATTATAGTATTTTCCATTTCCCCTTGGCACAGGGAGCTGTGCAGCTGGGGACCCACTACTACAGCTGCTTAGATAAGAATAAGTCATTGTCTTGTCTTTTGTATTCATAAGACACTGACACTATAGTTATCTACGTATTTTAGGTGTGCCCTCCTTTCCATACTGAGTATCAAGGTGGTGTCTACCCTGTTTAGTGGTCAGAGTTACTATTCATAGTCTCTCTCTCTCTCTCTCCCCCCCTCCCCCTCTCAATGACACCCAGGCTTTTGATGATTGCGACGTTTCACTGGACTCTGGATTCCCAAGAGACTAGGCTTATATCAGTTTCTCTGAGGGTGTGTTCTGGGGTATTCTTGAAGCACTTTTTTTTTTGAGTTGGAGTCTCACTCTGTCGCCCAGACTGGAGTGCAGTGGCACGCTCCCAGTCACCGCAGCCTCGACCTGCTGGGCTCCGGCGATCCTTCCACCTCAGCCTTCCAAGTAGATGGAACTACAGGTGTGCGCTACCACGCCCGGCTAATTTTTTTGATTGTATTGTAGAGATGAGGTCTCGCCAAGTTGCCCAGGTGGGTCTTGAACCCTCGGGCTCAGGCAATCCACTCACCTCAGCCTCCCAAAGTGCTGGGATTACAGGCTGAGCCACCGAGCCCAGCTGAAGCACTTCTTTTACCTTTCAGCCCTTACCTATTGACTTCACGGCAGGTTTTGTCATGCATATTTCAGGCCACGACAGCCAATGTACCTAAGAGATTCTCCATATGTCACTAGCACCCTACCTGCATTTGGACTATTGGTTAGAGTCCAGTTGCAAAACTTTATTATGTGTCACACATTGTCTTGTATACTATGCACAAAAATCCTTGATTGCCACTCATTTTACAGATGGGGAAACTGAGGCTCAGAGATATTAAATGACTTAGTCAATATCACACAGCTAGTAAGTGGTGGATCTGGGATTCAAATTCAGCCTGTCCAACTCCATTATGATGCTTGCGCCATTGTGTCAGGCCACCTTTTGTACTAAAATTAATAAACCAAAGATTCAATCACCATGGAGACAGTTTAACCTTCCCAAAGCCAAACTGGTTTGATACTGCAACCTGGACTCAACTTGAATCAGTTATCTTATAAATGATTGGG